AAAAAAAAAAAAAAAAGTGAGAAATCATATATATCATAGGGTGTAGAGGCTGACATAAGTAAATGAATCTAACTGTTGGCGAAATGGCGGACTTTGTAATAACTCTATTAACGCCTCAGGAGTCCACTCACCCTGTAACCACAAAAGATTTGGACATAAGTAGCATATAAAAACATTGTATATATGAGGAAATCATAAGACATTTATAGGCATTATTTACCTCAGGTAAATAGGACTCTAATTGTTTATGTAAAGGTAACTCGTGAACAAGAGGCAGCACAAATTCTGGCTTCAAAATATCACCAAGTCCCAAGCCTATATAACCAGGCAAACAGAACGTTAGAATAAAGAGAAGATCATCAAACAACACCGGTCGGATGGTCTAATGGTGACATCTCGATTTAACTCAGAGCAAGATTAAATTTCTACAATAATGCAAGTCCCAGTGATTTCAACATTGAGAATCCTAAGTGCAAGTCTTCAACTAAAAACTCACTCAAGAAAAGAAATTCAGCAAACATATCAGCCAAATAAATAGACTATAAGAAATGTCTAGCACAATAGACTACAAGAATTCTGCACTACAAGGTCACAGATAACATGAAAATCTATCATATATAGAGCACACAATACACATTAATGGTCACAACATTAAGAAAATATTATACCTGCATCTGGATCTTCAGGTTCAACTGCACCAGAAAACAGGATATATCAGTTTTCACCGGACAGGAAATGAGTAGTACTTTAGCACTGGCAAATGAAAATGAGCAATTACTACAGCAAAAGGTCAAGAATACCCGCAGAACCAATGTTGCTTAATATCCGCTGCAGATCTGACAGCTTAACGGGTCCAGCAGATGTTACATCACTAGTAGCTTCAGCACCCATGCTCGGGCCAACCAAGTTTCCAGCCCTGAAGAAGTAGAAATCAAGGATAATTGGAGGATTTTTTACAAATTTCATAATAACACATGAAATAAGAAGATGTAATATATTCTTTATTAAGAATTTAAGTTTCTAATAGCACCAAAAGAACCAATACAAAATAAATTACGTCGAAAACCAGTCAACAAAGTATGGTGCTTAGGTCTGCCTTGTATTCAATTTAATATGATTAGATCTTATCAATGCTCCCCATCATGGGTCAGGATCTATGTATTACCTAGATGAAATATCATCACCAACTGTATCTTCTGAGCTTACAGGAACTGAAGCATCAGGTTCTTCTTCTCCAGGTAACTCTGATTAACATTATTAATTGATTAATAATATATATACACATATATATACATATATAGGAAGGACCAATAAACCATAAATATTGAATACCAAGACAGGAATAAGAAAAAATAACTCCAGGAACTAGACCAGGTTTCTTTGTATATATTAGGTGTTTGATGGGGATCACTGTACCTAGAGGTTGATTCAGGTGAAAATTGACAGAGTTACATAGCTGTGTATCATTTTCAGCTTTGGGCTCCTGGAAGCATTTCAAGTGGGAAATGTCAGTTTTGAATAATTTCTGCAGAAAATAGAGCAAACAAATAACCCAACTCATGTCTTAACCTGCATCCAAAAGAAGAACTTTCTATTATCTGTACGAAACTTCAGAATGTATACCCTTCCAGACGATTGACAAACCTGTTCAACACCAATGCAACAAAGTTAGACGCAAATTTTAGATTTAAATAAGTAAGAAAACTCTTGCATATAAAATGAACATCATTATAGAAAACATACCTTTTCAAATACCGCTTCATCAGGAAAAACAATTTGATCCTGTGTTCAACTTTGATTAAGGAATAACCAACTAGCAATAAATATTATCAGACAGAACATGGAGATAATGGGAATCTGTAAGCATCAATTGCAGGCATTCATCCTAATGAAAGTTAGACCAGGATACATCTTCAATAACATTTAGAGATCTGTCAATCCACTGAAAATGAACCAGCCCTTCTTCTCCCTAAGGAAAACAGAGAAATAAGGTTACAGTGAAGAAAAACAGAATTCAGTATATACAGTATTATTACCACTAAATCCTGTTATGGAATTATCAGGTTTCCCAATTCAGGGAGAGAATGAGGAAGCTGGAGTAATAAAACATGACAAGAAACAGAGAATTCACTCCTACCCTTCCAATACGAACGAGTCCTTTACGAGAATCAGGGCTTACAATTGATTCATCCATAATCATTTTTCCTGCACGAAATTCCAGTAGAACTTCCTGGCCAATGGAATAAAAGGAAATTATCATTTTATACGTCTAAGGCACAGAATCACAGAAAATATGCACCGAAATGTCCACCCTCAACCCCGCACCTTTTAAACACACACACACACACAGATAATAATAATAATAAGAATAATAATAATAATAATAATAATAATAATAATAATAATATACTGTATTTATAACAATATGGAGCAGATACTGGTGTGAGGTAAGCACTGATAGTTTAGTACTCCAATGCACCATTGTGTTTTTTGCGTACAATTATAATTGAGATTCTCAATATACCAAATATTGAATTTCAAAAAGCGCAATTCTTCATATTCAGCATTTTTCATGTCATCTAATCTTGGTAAGAAAATACAGTTAATAAATCACTTAGATGATCACAGGCGAATCGATAGCTTTCCATGTCGGGATGTCCGAAAAATAAAGTACATATCTACTGTAGATAACCTATATTTCTCCAAAAAAATTATTACTTTCTTCGTCTTGTTTCCCCTCTATTGTGATTTTTAAGATGAATTACGTAATTACATAAACAATCTTTCCCTTTAAGATTTAATAGTTGAGAAGATAGTACACTAGGAGATGCTAGTCCCTAAAGCCTCTGGACTCCAGTAGTACGTTCAACTGAAATTTTGCAAGTCCAGTGGGCACCCAATTTACTTAGAAGCATTAGTTTCACAAATTCTAGAAATAAATTTAACAATGAGTTTTTGGCACTCATTTATAAAACTCTCAACCTGCTCCTCTCCAAATCATAAAAACTTTGCCAAGACCTTAAATACACTCTTCATTTACAAACTGACAGCTAAATATTCAGTCAGTGGGTCAACACATGCAGGATTACACTGTACCAAGAACCAAACAATTGTGAGTAAGCTCTACTATCAAACTACGTCCACCATATGAGCATGGGTTTGGACAATGCACTCAAATTAGTCAGCATAAGCCATGACTCGATAGCCTACCTCACAGTCGATCCTTTGTTTCGGAAAGAAAATAAACAAGAAGAGAAAGGCCAAAGGACGAAAGCAGTTATCCTGGTTGTTGTTATTCACAATTCGAACGAAATCTATCGAATTGCATCTCATGCTCATCAGACTTTTAAAATCCAATATGATGCCTTGCCTAGATAGTTAACTAAAACAATCAGCTCTAAACATCAACTGCGACACTTCAATTCTATTAACCTCGTAATCCAATAACACAAGTCTTGACTCTTAAGTCTTAACTAACAACGTTCTAATTCAACAAAACAGCATCAAGCACACTAAATTCGACACACTCAATAATTAATTAAAACGTATGCTATCGAAATTCGAAGAAACTTCACCCCACCTGAATGGGAGGAAAAGCATCACCCATAGAAGAAGCCATGAACACAATCTGCACAACCCCTTTTGCTTTCACTCTGTTGAATCTCTTTTATCCAAAACTGCAGTTAGGAAGAGCAAAGAAAAGGGTCAAACTAACTGGACCTCCTCAGTCTAAAGATCTGAGGATATAATCTCCATTAGAACTGCGAATTAAAGGTCCCAACCATAGAGATAAATTGGTTTCTATAGGTTGGAAACAAATTATGCAATAATCTTTGTATCTACAACTCGAGCATTTGAATCTTCAACCTCACAGCGATGGCTATTGCAAAAAGTAGTATTTAATTTAAATTTGAGAGAGAGAGAGAGAGAGATTATCACCTGGCTGGTCTGAATATTTTGCAGTCGCTGAGAGAGAGATTTTGCGGAGATTCTAAACCGACGCCGCTGAAATGAACGTGGACAGAACGGAAGTGGGCTGGGCTGAGCGAGAGCAATAAAAGACATGGGCTTCTCATTATGGGGCCCACTAAATATGGGGTCACCCAGCTGAGAATAAATGACGCCCCTTAGATCAACTTTAATAGGAGGTTTTGAGAGGTTTAAAATTTCGGAAATTTCCAGTTAAATCCCTAATGCTACTTTGAACTTCCAGTTCAGTCCCTAACATAATTTTTTTCCACTGTACTCCCTGTTCACTAACTTCTCTTTCCATTTCACTCTCCATATATATAGTAATGTTATTATTTTTCATTTATTTTGCCTCAATTATCAGAAAATCAATTGTCGTCTCTGTTCTCTCTCTCTCTCTCTCTCCTCGTCCTCCATCTCTTCGCTCTCTCTCTCTCCTCGCTCGCCATCCATCTCTGCTCTCTCTTTCTCTCTGTTCGTTCGTCGCCATCGTCGTCTCTGCCCTCTCTCTCTCTCTTCGGTCTCATCGTTCATCGTTCATCACCATCGCGATCGTCATCTTCATCTCTCTCTCTGTCTCTCGCCGTTGTCTCTGCAATGGCCGGCTCCAAAAAGAATTCTCCATGCTCCTCTACACCCACGAAGGCATCACCAAGCTCAAAGGTAATTTCTGATTTTTTGGGCTTTGTTCCTAATTTTAAGGTTTTTTTCAATTTAGGGGTTGAATTTGAAAATTAGGGTTTTTTTCAATTTAGGGCTTGAATTCGAAATTAGGGTCTATAACAGTAAGTAAGGTAAGATTTTGAGGATTTTTTTCAACAATTTTAAATTTTTTCTTGAATTCGAAATTTGAGGATTTTTTTTGAAAAATTAGCATATTTTTTTTAATTCGAAAATTTTGCAAAATTTAGGATTTGGTTGATGCTAATGAACTTTGAATTTGATTTTTATTTCAACAATTAAGAATTTTATTATAAATTACGGCTCTTTGCATGTTTAGGGTTCATATGAATTATGGCTCAATTAGGGCTAAATTAGTTAAGCATCATCCTAATTTGTATTAATTAGGGCTCAATTAGTTAAACATGTTCTGAATTTTATTATTTTTTTTAAATTTTTTATGAATTGTTTAGTGACTGTGTTGCTATTTTGTTCTTTAATTGTGTTGCTAATTTGTTCTTTAATGGTGCTGCTGATTTGGTTGAAATGGTGCTGTTGGTTTGGTTGAAATGGTGCTGTTTGGTTTGTTTGAAATGGTGTTGTTGGTTTGGTTGAAATGGTGCTGTTTGGTTTGGTTGAAATGGTGCTGTTGGTTTGGTTGAAATGGTGCTGTTTGGTTTGGTTGAAATGGTGCTATTTTGTTTCTGTTGTTTGAAATTTTTGTTTGGTTTATTTGTTGTGATAGGGCACAGAATTAAGATGTCGATGTGCCCCTTCGTTCTTTAGAGATATAATGGACAGGACAGTTGTCGTGCTTTCTGACCGGCACAAGCAGGCTCTTCAAAAGAGTCCATTTTTTTTTTTAAATATGCCTGATATAGCGGTGTTACATAGTAGAGTGGAGGCCTTAATTAGCACATACAAGGCAGATGTGAATGCCTTTGTGGTAGATGATAATGTGTCTCTTAATTTTGACCCCGCCGAGTTTTGTGTAACGATGGGGCTTCGACAGGGTGGTCTAAGCGTAGACTTAGACCTTAATTTAGAGTCGAAAGCCTTATTCGACGGCTGGGGTCGAGTAGGTAATAAATTGTTGAAAAGAAACCATGTTGTAGAGTTGTTAGAAAAGTTTGCTATTGATGAACGTCGTGTAGACGACTTCATCAGGATGTATAGTTTGTTTGTTTTTAGTTGCATTTTGTTCCCTTGTTCGAGTTATTCCATCCCCAGGTTTCTTTACCCTTACGTAGAGGATGTGAGTCGAATTTCTGAGTACGCATGGGGAGATGCTACTCATAAATTCCTGGTTGCCGAGCTTATTCGCCATGGTGGATCGAGGAACGATCCTACTTTGATGGATGTGTTGTTGGGATGTTGGTATGCATATGTGTGTAGCTACCGATAGTATTTTAATCTGAAATTTTTACACGACCTACAAAATTAATAGAGAAGATTACACTCAAAATTTCACATTTATTTGTGCAGTACACAATTTATGGTGAATTTAACACATAAACAGCAATTAACAGCGATCAATAAATTCATAAACGACTCAAAAATCATTTAAATCGTCCGAGGCCTTCACCATAAGGCCTAGGACTTCCAACCGTTCCAAATCCACAGTGACTAATCAGAATTCCAACATGATCTCGTTCGATTCACACGAATCGACGACAATCACACATACACACATTAATATATAACAACAACATGAATTACATATATACACATTAAGTCTTAACAAAATCATATAATATGAGTACACATAAATACACATCATAGTAGACAGAAATAAGCATCATAAAGAGATTGTACAGAGTCAAGGTTAAGCCTCGGTACCGTTCTCGGGACTACGTTCGAAAAACAGGACGAAGGAGGCAACCGGAAGTGACGGCAAACACACGTGGCGCTCAATGACTCCCGCTCGGCTCGCGGAGTAGCTGTGGCGGAGATCGCGACTCGAGGAGGCGCTGAAACGGCCTGCGTGGAGGAGCAGCTTGCCGTGTGGGTCGCCGAAGGTGAACTGGTCGTGGCAGAGGACCTGCGCGCGGAGTTGCAGCGTCTGAGGAAAACTCGCGGGGGTTGCTGGAACACGCCGACGAGGCGGTCCTTCCCACGGATCGATATCGGGTACCAAACATGTACATACATGATTTCGATTAAACCTAAGCATGCTCCTAAAGGACGAACAGAAAGTTTACCTTTCTTCGAGGCTTTGATTCGATCTGAGCGATCTTCTAGTCTGTGTCCCGACCACGTTTGGACGCCGGATGGACGACGATCTTCCAAACGGTTGAAAGAAGAAAACTGCCCACGGATTTCTCTAACCCTTCTCGTTACTCTTTCCACGATGGTGGCTAGAGTGTCTCACGAAAATCTCAACTAGGTTTAGAACGTGGGAAGTCCCCTCCTTTTATAGAGGTCCTTGGGCCAGCCTAGGGATCTCTTAGAAGGTATAGGGTTTGGGCTCCCTACAGGCCCAAATTCTTACGTTCAGCCCAGAACACAATTTGGCCCGTAAATATTAATTCATTCCACTAGAGAATTAATATTGCACTCCCGTCCTATCCCGAAATGAATCAGGGCTTCTATTAGACTCGATATAATTCCCCGTGTTTAAGATATCGCACGTCCATTAATTATTAAAGCTTCTGACTGCTTTAATTAATTAATATCTTTTAATCCTTAAGTAGTACCACTCAACCTTATTATCGTACGGATTAAATCCACCTGCAGGGTTTATACGATAATCCTTATGAGTTCCTTAAGGGGACGTCACCAACCTGGATGTCCAGGACACGGTGCCCTAATGCCAATAAATAGATATCATGCAGATAGTGTTGTTACCCAAGATACGGAGCTATTGAACCAATACTTGGTCCTCACCCATGGTAAGTCAAAGTAACAAACAAATATCCCATATATCTAATTACCACAGTTAGGGTTAAGAATTAGTAGAGTCACCGAGACCTAGGTTCTTCATGATAGTCAGAACAGAAGAACACGTCTCAACTGTGATCCTTTCAATGCGACGCAGCGCACTAGTATAAACCAATAGCCAAGACAAGCTACATCCAGTTTATACTACAACCTACACCGATAGTCATGTCCATAACTATCTCAGTTGTGAATACCATTTATATCTTATAAGGAACCGACAATGCAATCTTCTGTGTGACTACTAACACACCACATTGTCTACAATATAAGATAATTGGACATTTAGCATACAAGCAATCATAAAGAATGCAACAATGTGAAAAACATTTATTTCAGTCAAATGGGAAATCGAATAATACAATCCAAAAGCTCACGTAAAAGTTTGCTTTACAGTATACTCCAACAATCTCCCACTTATACTAAAGCTAAACTTTTAGTATATAAACACATGCCATAACAATTCTCCCACTTATACTCAAAGTCTAGCTGCAACACATCGTAAACCAAGACCCTCTACGTGTTTCTCGAAGACATTGACAGTCAGAGTCTTCGTGAAAGGATCAGCTAGGTTATCCAACGACGCTATCTTTGTCACAACCACATCTCCTCGTTTCACGATCTCTCGTATAAGGTGGTACTTTCTCTCTATGTGTTTACTGGCCTTATGTGCTCGGGGTTCTCTCGAGTTTGCGACTGCACCAGCATTGTCACAATAAATTGTGATACACCTAGGCACACCCGAGGATACCCCTAAGTCCAGTAAGAAGCTCCTGAGCCAAACAGCCTCCTTTGTTGCTTCTGAAGCAGCAACGTATTCGGCTTCCATGGTAGAATCTGCGATGCATTTCTGCTTCACACTCCTCCATGAGATCGCTCCGCCTCCCATCATAAACACATAACCCGAGGTCGACTTTCTCTTATCTCGATCAGCTTGGAAATCAGAATCTGTGTAACCCAAAGGAGTTAGACTGTCTGATTGGTAAACAAGCATATAATCCCGAGTTCTTTTCAGATACTTGAGAATATGCTTTACCGCAGTCCAGTGTCCTTGACCAGGGTTAGACTGATATCTTGCTACCATGCCAACTGCATAGCAAATATCAGGCCTCGTGCACAGCATGGCATACATAAGGCTTCCTACAGCCGAAGCATAAGGAACCTTAGCCATTTCCTCCATCTCCTTTTGTGTCTTTGGACACATATCCTTAGATAGAGGAACTCCATGCCGAAAAGGTAGCAACCCTTTCTTGGAGTTCTGCATGCTGAAACGAGCAATCACAGTATCAATGTAAGCAGCTTGAGATAGACACAACATTCTCTTCTTCCTGTCACGAATGACCTTGATTCCAAGAATGTACGATGCCTCACCCAAGTCCTTCATTTGAAACTGTTCTGAAAGCCATACCTTTACGTCTGACAAAACCTTGACATCGTTGCCAATGAGAAGAATATCGTCTACGTATAGTACTAAGAATACCACTACGTTTCCGTTGCTCTTTTTGTATACACAACTCTCGTCTTGACATTGATTAAA